CAAATATTCAAATGAATATTATATGTCAAAAATGCATATTTTATGATTGGCTTTTCACAAATATTCAAATGAATATTATATGTGTTGTGTTAGAAAGTAATGCTGTATGAATTCACTTTAGTAGTGTGTTAAATATAGTTTTGGGTTATTAAAAATGTTAAAATAGAAACTATGCCACGTAGGATACTTTTTTAAAAGAAAGGACTTCCAGCGAGATAGCAGCCACAGGACACGGAATGTTTCAGAGAAAAAGAATTTATTGCCCTCTTATTGAAGAACCGAACTTCTTCCCGCCTTGAAGGCGCTGTTAGGATTCAGAGGAAGAAGCTGACACTGCCCAGACAGAATCCTGTGTCTGAATGGAATTTATGCATCATGGATGAGGTGTATGAATGTGCAACAGGCTGTTGCTTTTCAGGGTTAATCCTCTGTTTACGGGGGTCGTGCTGCCCAGAAAAATGTACCCGGAGCTCCGTAACTCTTTGTCTCTACTGTCTCATATTGTCCTAATTCAATTTGTCCAAATTATTATTTCTCTAATTGTATTACTATTTTTATAACCATTTTATTATTATTAAACTTTTACAGTTTTAAAACCAAGTGCTTGGCGTTTTTCACAAGCACCCAACAGAACAAATTACTGCACAGAGACTGCCATGGGAAGTGGCCACCATATAAACATCAAATACAATTGTTTCCCCACAATTGGAGGGGTCACAGCGAGCCCTCATTCCCTAACCAGGGACAACAAACCAACCACAGCAGATCTCACACTGCAGGCACCCAAGCACTCCCTGAATTCCCAACAATTGACATCTAAACCACAGTTGACATCTAAACCAGAATGTTGGCCACGGATTTTTGCACTAAATATAAAAACCAGTAAGAACACCTTCTCATCAGCTACAAACTGCAATCTGTTTTCTTATCTAATGCTACACCGTAATGTAATTATTGTCCACTCATTGGTCCAAATCAATTAAACACCAGAAATGCTCACACAACTCATTCCCCAGTGTAGCAATTCAATCAGAGAAAGCTGTCACCCATTTTTTGTTGTCTGATCTTGTATCTAAGATCTTCATTGGTTGCATCAGAACGATGCATTAAATAGGATTTAGGGTAAGGCAAAATTAAAATAGTGATTTGTATTCTTCCCCCCAAATTACCCCACATCACATTAAGAATGAGGGAGTGGAAATCACACACACTTAGTGATCTGATTCTTCTTGGTCGTTTTGGCTACTTGGATGCTTTTCAATACAGGGGGAAAAAGGAACAGTATTTTGTTTGCTCAGAAACCCAAGAGCCCATATTGAGATTGAGTTCCTGGACAGCAGTTTCAGGTTTCCTTGTAACTCCATGTTAGAGGTCCTCAGACACAAGGAAGGAAAGAAACCTCTTCAAATAATTTCCCCTTAAAGGTTTGAGAACCTACACAGAAAATAAGGAGCAGTGAAGAGGCAATTTGTTAAACACAGCCTCTGAAAACAACTGGAGCACACACTAACCCTCCTCACTGTAATTTAGCCTGCATTATGGTCCCCACCCAGGAACACAGCCACGGCAAAGGGCTGGGAGCTGTGATTACTTCCCACTCCCACAGAATGAGTGTCAGTGGAAAATACAGGAGAACTGCACAGCTCCAGCTCCCTGCCCTGCGTCCATGAGCAGGGAAGGCTGCCTGCAGCTCTGCTCATCACACATTGCCAAACTCCTCTGGCTCTGTGCTACCCCTTACAAAACTCTCAAGTATCCTACTCAGGAGTGCTTTTATGTGCACTCATTTTAAAATTCAACTGGCTTAAATATTTCTGGAGTCTATTGTAAAATAAATACCACAAAGTCTAAATTTCTTGATTATAGCTGGGCCTGGCTAGAACACAAGAATTCCATTTTGCCTTTTTTTTTTTTCTTTCAGATTTCAGCACTTGATTTTGTTCCAAAGCAGAGCATAACTTTCAAAATTCAAGAAGCGACAGATAAAATGTGGGAGACCAAAGTTCAAGCCCCTGGTCTGCATCAGGCAAAAATCCCTTACCACCAACATGTCCTAATAATTCTCATCCCCTTTTTAAGTTTTAAACAGAAATTTCATTTCTCAAGCCTCGAGAAACTTCCCCAAAAATAGCTGCATTAAGACAGATAGTAGCTGTGAAAGGTTCCTGTTCATTCAGCATTTTCCATTCAAGGAATGGCTGCTGGAAAGCTCCCAAGCAACTTGAATTGCAGCATCCTTTTTCAATATGTCTGGGTTTTCCAGCAGCGTGTTAAACACCCACAGACAAGCAGGCCCTTATTGTTATTTAATATTTCATGTTATTCAGATTACAGCAATTAAATAAGATGTCTCAAGACACCTTGGGCAACCCAAGTGAACCAACACTCAGTGACCTCATTTTTTTGGCCAATTTGTTGACTACAGGTCCCCCTAAATCCAGCTATTTAGTTCTAACAGGAATTAAAGCTCTCCCCAGCAGATGGTTTCAACCCAAGAGGGCTCCGTGACTAGGTAGGACCCTAAAACATGGGCACCTTGCCTTGATAAGCCCTGCAAAATGATGCCTCAGGTTTTAGCTTTTATATTTTTCACATTCTGTGCTGCTTTAGTGTAGTGGAACAAAATAGCTGTAAAATAGGCCTCAGTAACTGCAATGCTGTTTCAGAAAACAGCAGTCTTTAAAGATAAGACAAAAATGTGGTATCACCATAATCCTGTGTGGGTAAGCATCTCAAACTCTTCACTGTGAAGTATTCCTGCATTATTCATTCTGAGAGGGACAGTAACCCAAGATAAAGCCTTTTTCCTCTTCTTATGAAAGCTTCCTTACATTTTCTTTACTGGGCTGCCCTTTCAAAAAATTCAATAAGCAAGAAAATGTTTTTCCCTTATATATTTTAGGATTCTTCTTTACCAGCTCCAAACCAAACAGGCACAGTGTGAATTCCTCAGGAAGAGGGGCATTATATGCAATAATATTGCTCACACAGGGGCTGGGAACTAGAGCCCACAATGCCTCATATATCCAGACTTTCATGATGTCACACCCCTGCAAAACCCATTACACTCAGGAAGGTGCAATATCACCTAATGTTTATATGGCTGTTATTTTTAAATGGTATTTTTAAATCCAATAGTTTTCAAATCTTTATCTGGATGATGTGTGAATTAATGGAAATAACAGTAACCTAACTATTGCCAGCTCCAAACATGCAGCTGATACTCCCCAAGGGCTGAGTGCTGGTGCACACGTGGGCATGGGTGCTGGAAAATGCACTTCAGTTCACATTCATCCTTCCACCAGCCAGGCCTTACTCCCTGCAACTGGAAATCCACCTCAGATCTTAAAGAAAACCAACACTTTTTTTCTCCTAAGCAGCAGGTATGGACTGCTTGCTGCTTAGGAAAGAAAAAGTGTTGGTTTTCTTTTCCACAGCGGCTATAAAGCCATTTATTGCACACAGCTCTCACTGACTTCACCGGCACTTTTGCATTTTTTAGTTAGAATGAGGAGAGATAATTTCTTTAAGGCAGAACAGCAACATTTCAACTGTGCTCCTGCTCTATCCCCCTACACCCTCCTCCCAGTGAATCACCTCCAAAAAATGCTTACATTCCACCAACATGAGAGAAAGAAGCATGACTCTTCTGAACAAGGAACACACTGAAGCCAATCTCATTTCTTTATTTATGTTCACTTTCCATACCATGGACAGAGACCTCCAGTTTTGGGTTTTCCTCAGCTGCTTTCTATTTGAAACACATTGCTGCCACAGGAGTCCCAGTACTACCAGCCCGGGAAAACAATGGAATTCCCTGCAATCTTATCTAAAGGACAGCTGCTAAACTGAGTGATAGCATTCCCCATCCCCCAACACCTTGAAAGAGCTGATACAACACTGCAGAAATACTTTCTCATTTCCTCAGAGCACAGTTTCTAGAGACTGAAAATGAAGCAAGGCCTCTTTCTAGGAATATCTGAAAAGACACCAGGTTTCATTCAAATACAATTTTGTAAGAAAATATCTGACATGTTCTTAAATGTCAGGAATACTTCATTTCCTCCCTGGAATTTTATACAAAATTTAACAAGAAATGAAGGAGGCTTCTGGTGCAGCTCTGAATGTATCATACAGAATGCAGCCACCCAGATGAAATAAAAGCAGCCAAAGGAAAGAATAAAAACAAGGAATCTCTCATAAAGAAAATAAAAGGAGTGCCCAGAGAGGACAAAGGTGAAGAGGCAAAGCTAATCTGCAAGGAGTAGGTCAGGCTGAGCAGCAAGAAATGCAGTATGTTCAGCCTGGAAAACAAAGGTTGACAGAAAAGCTGGAGTGCTCCCTTTCACTGACCCTGCCAAAACCCTTTCTAAAACATGGCTTTTAGATCCCTTCCTACCTCAGCTCCACAAACCCTCTCCCATGAACTTCTCTTCAATCCCCCTGACTAAATACACAGAAGGACAATGGCACTACTCTTGCTGTAAAAGGTCAGGATAAGTCTCTACCACCTTTATTGTTTTAATTTCCATCTGAAGTCACATTACAGCTGTCCCTCCTCCTCACTATTTTTTAAGAGCATTAAGGAGCAGCTGATACAGAAAGAGGTTTGTGAATGAATTCTGAGCCAAACTGTTTAAGCCTACTTCCCTAAACATCATACCCTAAAATATACTCCCCCCACAAAGGGGAATACACCATATCCTCTTTCTGCTTGGCTACCTGAGAATGGACTTCTCTGCCAAGCCTGGTGAGCACAGCACAGAGCAGGGCAAGCAGGAGCTCTCCTGAGGCTCTGCAGCTGACAGGAATTCCTACCTGCTGTAAGAACACAGCATTTCCATGGAACTGCTCCTCTCAGAGCACAGCTGGTGTGCAGAGACTGGAACCTCAGTTTCCCACATCCCAAGGCAGATGGGATTGAACTACCAAGACAGCCTCTCCCCTCTGTGCTTCAGGTACTATTGGATCCCATGAAGAGAACACTCCCAGCACTGCAGAGTCTCACAGCAGCTCAGGGAATTCAGCTGGGATGTGGGAAATCTACCTTCAACTCCCTACTTACCTGATTTAAAGCCTGATCTTGAAACTGAAATCCCTCAGGAGGTCAGTGCTGTTATCACATGGGCATACAGACTGTCTTTTTCCCCTCCTCTTTGTTCCAAAAGTTATCACCTGGGTTATAAAAGGCTGATGGGTCAGAAAAATGAGTGAGAAACACAGAAAAAGAAAGGATGTATGGGGAATGTTGTAAAAGAGAAAGGGAGAGAGGAAAGAGAAGTGAAATGAGAGAAACAGAAGAACAGACAATTAGAAAGGCAGAGAGATGCGAATGGGAAAATGCAGCTACAACTTGGTCCTCAAGTTTATAAATTGATTTCCACCAAATCTTGTCATCACAAGCAAATTACTGTAACTGAACCAAAGAGCAGAAAACATGCCTTCCTTAGCTTTTAGCCTTCAGTATTTTGAAATACCAACACTCTCCCTTGTAATTCACCATCTCCTAAGACTTCCCTCAATCTCCCTCCTTCCCACATTCTGCGCCAAATCTTCCTCATTTCTTTTTGCACTCCAATTGATCCATTCTTTTGGCCAACACCCCAACATCTGGGACACAGAGTTAAAGCCATATTTACCTTTGATTTGACACATTTACATAACAGGAACAAGACTAACTCCAGCTCACTCTAACCTACAGCTCTGTAGATGACAAGAGGAAGTTACTGCACAACCTGTTAGCACCAACAGGAACTCTGACTCTCTGAAGCTCTAACGTGGCCAGCACTCCCCTTGGCAGAATTTTAAGATGCACCTCAAGCCTCAGAAGAGTGACTTAATTTGCACCACCTCTGTCTTACCTCAAAAGGCAGCATGACTGGCGGCGGTGGCTTTTTCAGCTCCTCACATTTTCTCTTTTTGCATATCCGGTGGCTGGTTTTGCGCTTCCTGCAGCAGCTGCACTCCTCGCAGTTGGTTTTGCGCAGACAGGGCTCGCACACCCCACACCGCCTCCGCTTCTTCTTCTCCAGCATGGGGAGCAGAGATGAGTATGGAAGAGGGTAATCACCAGCTGGATTTTTAACAGAGTATGGCCCTGAGGCCTCAGCTGCCTCAGTGCTGGTGTTCACGTTGTTGTCCTGAACCAAATTCAAGCTTGCTCCGACACTTCCCAGCTGTGATGAATAATCATTATGCTGCAGTCTTGAGTCAGCTGGCAAATCTGCATTTATGGCTTTTGCTGAGGCAAGAGCAGAGATTTCCATGCTTGAAGGCAACTCTGAAACAAAACCTGCAGAGAATTGTCCAGAGCTTTCAGCAGAGATTTTATCAACTGTGCTTCTTCCTAAATCTGAAGATAAAGTGGGGACATACCCTGAATTCAAAATTAATGTCTCTGCATCAATACATTTAACAAGCTGTTCAATGTCCTCTACTTCAAGGTTGTTTAAAGAGGTATTGGAGACTGGTTCACATACTCTAAATATGTTCTTTGTGTCAAATTCTGAATTCTCTTTTGTAAAGCTCAAATCTGAATTTGAATCAAGTTCTCTGTGAATGGGTACAAAATCCACAACCAGTTTCATGGGGTACTCTGCAAGTGAGCTCGCACCTTCAAAATGTAAAAGCAAATTGGATTCAGAGGCAGCTACAGAACTGGAATTTGAACCAATGTCTTTATTCTCAGATTCCAAACCCCAGCCTGCCTTCAAGCAGGAATCTGCCAGTGACCTTGCATCTTGTAATAAATGTTCTTGAGAGTTAAACTCAGAGGTAACTAGAGACGCAGAATGCAAGCCTTGCTCTTGGCTAGGTAGCACCATGTCCAACCCCGCTCCAATGTGGAATTTGGCAAGTGTGACTGACTCTATCAGCACTGCAGAGCTGAGGCCTGAGGTATCAACAGAGCCGGAGTCAGGTTCTGTACTGTTGGGCACCACACTGAAGGGAGCCTCTGCAAGCACCTTTGAGTTTGATTCAGAGGCAATTTGAGAGTCAGAAGGAGAAGATGGAAGCACCAGGGCAGCACTTTCAACAAATGCTTCAGCCAAACTACCTGTAGCAAGGTCACTGAGTATCTGCTCACAGGGCAGGTCTTCAAGCTTAGCTTTCAGCTCTGAAGCTTCTGTACCATCATCAATTAGGTGAGTGTTTGGAATGGAGTCACCTGTTTCAGATATTTCTGCCTCCTGGTGCTGGCTGGCACACGGGACAACAGGCTCCTCCTCACCTGCAGCACACAGCCAGCCCTCCACAGGCAGAGCAGCTAACTCCTCTTGAGCTACACCTTCTTTCAAAGCTATTTCATCATTTTTCTCTTCTACTACTGCCAGGGCATCTTGTTCATGTTTTTCCTTTGTTTCCAGCCTTTTTTGTGCTGCAGCTTTCCTGGGCTTTGCAGTTATTGGAGTTTGGGCCAAGCTTCTGGAGAAGGATCGGTTCCGGAGAGCCATGGTGAAGCCGTTGATGCTGAAAGAATCCTGGCTGTGGAAGAGGATACTGTCAGCCTTCTCCAAACTCACCCAAGAGGCTCCAGACAAGGTTACATTGCTCCTGAGAAGTCTACCTGAAGAGCTCATGATTGGTTTCTTTTCTTGCTGTTTTTTCTTAACATCTTTTTCTTGCACTGGCTTTTTACCTTTTCCAGAACTAACAGCTTTTGTGGAAGCCTTTGTGCTTTTCTTTCTCACTTGGCTAGATTTCTTTTTGCCCTGGTTAGTTTTCCTTTTGCCAAACTCTTCTTTTTTGGCTGATCTGGAAGGCCTGGCATGGTGAGCCATGTCTGTGGAGCAGGAGCAATGTCAAGAGGAGAGATGGAAAAAAATCATGAGCTCTTGAGAGACCTCTTCAGTAGGAAACTGCATACTCCCATTGCTGCCTTCTGTGCTCATACAATGCCAACTCTGAAACAGAAAAAGATACAAAACGGCATTAATAGACTTCTAATTAAAAAAAGGTGCACATACATTCAGCTGACCATTTTTAATATTTAAAAATACAGAAGTAGAATCAGAAATAGCAGTGTTGGGTGTTATGCTGCACAAATGCTTTTAAAATATTAGCATACTATAAAATAAAAAGCTTGTCTAAAGACCTGTAACACAAATAAAAAAGCAAACTGAACTCAAATGACCAGGCAACATCACATATTTACTATTTTATGTCAGCACTAAAAAGTTTGAGTTTTCTCAATTTTATTAACAGTTCATTAACCAATACACTTCCCCTGAGTAAGGAGAAGTTAATATTTATCAGTGTAAGGACATTGAGGAACAAAAGAACAAAGCTGAGTTTATTTTTTGTGCATACTCAATCTGTCATCACAGGGCATCCATCATTCTTTCACCACCCACTGGCAGCCCACCATGGTGGATTTCCATATAAAATGGGATAAGTAAGTAGCTCCCCAAAGAGATCAACCTGTGATTTTTACAGGGGAACTGGACTAGGGAAGAATGATCTTTCCCAGCGTTACCTTCCTCAATACCTTCACAATGTATTACATTCCAGCCCTTAATTCCATGCTCTGCCTATACCATGTTTTATACAAGGCAGATGTCTCTGCTTCATCACTAAGACTTAACTTACCTTCAAAAAACCCCCATGTATCTGTCCCAAGCTTTTGTCCCCAGTCACAACTGCAATGCACAGGTCCCCCAACTCCCCAGACAAACTGAATCATCTCCAAACATACAACAAAACCAGCGCCCACCCAACACACCATGAACAGGCTGAATCAATAGCATCCCTCCTCCACAGCAACACTCCCGGCCTGGAGGGACTAAGCAGACACGTGCAGCTGTTTATAGTCGTGGTTGAAGCTTCAAAGGTCACACAAGACACCTGAACAGCTCCCACAGAAGCTCTCTATAAAAGCTGGGTCAGACAGTGAAACAGTAAAACAAACACAACACTGAAAGGAAGGTAACCCGAGTGCTCTCCTGCCCCTGGAGGCACAGGGGGGAAGGGGACATGGCCATCAGAAATCCCTCCATGAATCAGAAAGGGCATCACAGCAGCAGGCCCATGGAATAGCTGTTGGCAGCCTGCAAAAGCCTCCCCAGTGTCTGGGGGCCGTGACAGACTGGGATCTCACTCCAAAGGATGGCCTGGAGGGCTGCAGGACCAGCTGGAAGCAAGCAGCAGGCACATCTGCACCCATGGCAGAGGCAGGAGAAATGTCAGCTACCTCCAGAGCCCACAGCCAGGAGACCAAGGAAGAAAGCAAGCCATCAACAAAGGCCAGGCAACACAGCAATGTGTGAATCAGGAGGGGCACTGAAGTGACAAAGTCTTTTCTCTTTATCAGCCCTAAAACAGGAGCAGAATGACCAGGGAACACAGGAGGCCTGCAGTGGAAACAGCGAGTGGATTTTTGAGAATGCTGCATGCGAGTGATGCTTTGCTCATATTGTTTGCTTACACAAGCAGCTGTTCCTGTGCAAGTTCAGGAAGCATCACCATCAAAATTATCAATCAGAAGCTTAATTTCTAACAATGTGGTAACTTTTTAAATCATTACTACAACTACATTATAATGTCTTTATGTGCATTTGACAGGGATAGGACACGGGGGAATAGCTTCAAGGTGAAGGAGGGCAAGTTCACCTCAGATACCAGAAAGAAGCTGTTCCCTGTGAGGAGGTGAGGCCCTGGCACAGGGTCTGCCCCAGCATCCCTGCAAGTGTCCCAGGCCAGCTTGGATGGGGCTTGCAGCAACCTGGGCTGGTGGAAGTGTTCCCTGCCCATGGCAGGGACGTGGAATGAGATGGGCTTTAAGGTCCCTTCCCACTCAAACCCTTCTGCAATTGCATAATTTGAAAATTGCAAAATAATTGCTTCAGGACTGAAGAGGCAAGATCATCCTGAAATTCTTTGGTTGGTTCTGTCATTTAAAAAAAAATTAATACAGAGAAACACAAGAAACACACCTGTCTGACAAGAATGTAGAAAACTATCAATGCCAAAGCACTGCTTCTCTTCAGGGCCAAATTTACAGAGGCTATGAACACAGTGGTTCAATACTTCCCTTTTTTTTTGCTAAAAAAGAATGGTGATATTCATAGGAAATTGCCTGGCTATAAATGCTGCATTATAAAAGATGGCCAAGACTTTGTCTGACTCAGAGGTGACAATACAGGGTCACAAGAACATCAACACTTTAATCTATTTTGTTTCATTTTTGTCACAGGAGTCACTTTAGGTTTTTCAGAAGAGATCTGAATAGACCCCCAAAGGAAATTTTTTGGGGGGTAGGGGTGGATGCTTCACTTTAGTTATATTTGTCTGGGACTTGGAGTACCTAACCTGCAAGATCATCTTACAGTCTCAGGCAAAATGGTTGTTAGCAAGAGATCTCTGCCCCCCTTAAAAATGCCCCCCTTGAATGCCAGTCTGCCAAAACCACCTTAACTGCTCACTAAAAACTGTCCTGACATTTTAAATAACCTGTCCTGTAAGTTACATGGCTATTTTTTGTGTCCCCTTCCACAGCTAGCACCAGAGTATTGGGTAGCTGCAAGGTTGGTTTTCAAGTTTTGTTTCCTGTAACACGAGGAAATATTTTACCTTCCCTTTTCCATTGAAAGCACTGGCAAGGACTGTTGAGATCTGCAGCAGTTACAAATCATCTCACGCTGCTTCTAAAGGACAACAAATGGCTTTACCACATTGCTCATATTTCACAACAAGGAATTCATTATATTTCCAAAACATCTAAGTAGACTCAACAGGATTATAAAACATAAACCTCACAGGGCAATATAATAACTTGTCAGTTTTCTATCATCCTGGAGAGAAACAAATTTATTCAATGCTTTCTTCTGAAAGCCCAACCAGGTGAGACCTGCCATGCATCCCCAGGATGTAAAAGGGGCAATGGGTGACAGGAGGCTTTGCAGGGAACTGCCCTAGATAACATCAGTGCATCCTGAAGCTGTTTCTTGAGGCAGCTTATCTCTCCTAATCCATGTGCAAAGCTGAAAGCTGGGTTTAAGGCCAGTTGCTTAAGTTTTGCTCATTCGTGGTAATAAATCTGGAACAATTCTACTGACTGCTATAATCCTCAGCAAACACTGCTAGAAAAGCTAATCGAAGGCTAAATCTTCTAGTCCTGTCTCCTCTCAAAATTCCAAACAATTATAATGAGAATTCTACCTACAAAGTAATTAAGAAATTTAACCCTATACTGTCAGAACGCCTTCAGAAAAAAACAAAACCAAAACCAACAAGCCCCAGATCAAAAAAACAAAACCCAAACCCACCCACAATGTTTCACTTTACACAAATGGGCAAAAAAAAAGATAAATTTTCACTCTAGAGACTGTGTCAATCAAGATTTTGTTACATAACTTGATTCTTGTTGGATGATGACAGGGGAAAAAGAAAGATATTAGAAGATGTGTCCTCATAAAAAATGATGGCAGTTTTTTATGGTGTTGTGAAAAATGGCGAGTGACCCCTGAACAAACAGAGCAGTATAGGGGGAAAATGACACAGTCACTAGTTTCACCAGTCACTGGTTTCACTACAGTCAGATGTACTTAAGTACATTTTGTTTCAGTGCTTAGGTATCTTTTAAAAAGCCCCTTGAGATTTGCCCTTAGGAGAAACAGATCTGGAGGTTTTCATAGGAGGCACTCAATAACATGCAGGTCCCAAGCAAAAAAATAAGGGCCACAATGTGACAAAGCTGTCACACCAGCTCAGATGCACAATTTAGAAGTCAAAACCACCTCATCTTCTGGCAGCAAATGCTCTAGAGAAAGATGCAAGAGACACCAGAGAAAAAAAATCTGGCCCTCAGGTGCAGAAGCATGTCACATATCTGCAGATTCCTCCCAGCTCAGCAAAGCCAGCCTGCTTTCCAATCTGGCCTAGTTCCACTCATTGCTCTGTAGAACACTTTGTATATGAAAAGAAGGGAAATGGGTTAGGAGGGGAGAATCAGCTTCAATTTTCCCTTTCCCCCTTCTTTAATCCTTGAATACACATTTGGCCTTGGATAAGAAACAAAGCCAACACTTCTGCCATGTCAGTACCATGAGTAACTTCATGCACACAGGCCTCCCCACTCCATTCTCCTCCACAGAGGTTTTCTGCTCTGTGTTACAGGACCGTGCCATTCTTCAGCAGCTGGACATATTCCATCCACACAGATAAAACTTTGGCTCAAGGTACCACTTGCCAGTAGCACAGGAATGTGGGACAGGCACTGCAGGATGCCACCTCAGCCTCACAAAGGCACACAAAGCACAGTCCTCTGCTCACTCATCAGCAACACAGGATGGAGCTGAGCAGACCAAGGCCTTCATCCTAAATTTTTGTCCTTGCTGGCCCCAGAAGCCACCTCTGTGTTTGGAGGATGAGGCAGAGCTGCCACCCCACTGCATAAGGAGCTGGGAAATGGGCCCACTCCATGAATCCAGCAGGAGATGGCCATGGGCAGCAGTGTGCAATGCCTTCATGCACCTTGGAGCCTCCACAGTGAGTCACACAGATAGAGATACCACAAAAAAATCCTCCTCCCAGAGCTTTCTCCTTTGGAGAAAGCTCTATTGGAACAATTAGGGGAAAAATCACCACCAAAAAAATACAACTGTGGCAAGGAACCGCACATGCCTAAACCACAAACCAGATTAAGGCTCAGACAAACAACTTGAAGCAAAAATCAACTGTGAAGACTCACACCACATGTGCACTATCCTCCCTCCAGCCAGGCAGCAGCATGGGCTTACTTTAACCTAGGTGCAGTCAGCCAAGCACTGACCTTCACAGGGGGAATGCTAAATGTAAAAACACACCAAGGAATTTCTAAAGGCTCATCAAAGAAAACTCCATCCACCAGAATCCCCCAGATACATCTGAATACAAAAAAGAAAGCAAACCAAACCAAACACCC